GTTGGAAGCAGAGACCGAAGCTCGGAAGCTTCGTACACCTCAGTTGAAGTAACCCAAGGTGCACAAGCACTTGCATTCTTTCTAGCATTTACTCATTATGCAAATAGAAAGAAATGGCTTTCTCATGGAGAAAAAGCCAATATTTCTACACCTGGTGTTGTATGCGCATGGCAAGCACTGCTACACACAATATCCAGTATAAGATTACATATTTGACATTACATTTGTAAAATTGTGGTCAAAATTCAAAAAACAAATGCACTGAACAACAACCACAAGATGGCCAAGCCGCAATACGACGAAGCTGCAAATATGATTCAAGTAAAGATTACTCACATGTTCAACAGATCCGTTTTCTCCTCGATTACTTCGTATCAGTACGGAACGGACGGCGCGACCGTTCATCATCGTGAGAAGACGGCTCGCAATGATCTGACACAGATTGGTTGAAAAGCTGACGCAAAGTTCAATCGTTAATATCCGAGCAGCCGTATGTCATTATAAACGAGAAACAAGTACTTTAGCACAACGCCATGAATATCTGCCCAGAAAGGGGTGTGTTATGTTACCAGATGTAACAAAAAATTCGTGGAAATTTAAATGAATTAAAATTCTAGACAGGAAAAAAGCTAAATATAAAACTGAAAGTGCCCTGTAAGAAGAATCGTTTTCACAAGGTAAGTGTGAGCTTGGACTTGTAAACGCTGCGGATGAGCTTCGGACATGTACCACATGTCCTAAAATTATGACCATGGTAAAAGCTTTGTGTGTATCAAAGAATAGTGAGTCAGAGAAAAGAAGAGTGGCCGAGTTGTTCTGCTGCAAGAGCAAAAAATGAAAGAGTTCAGCGAAATTGGCAACGCATATGTTCAATAATAAAAGTCATTTTCCAATAAAGCAAACAATATTCAGGGTTTCTTACTGTTTCCATTGTAGTAACCAGGAAAGGCATTCAGCTTTCCATGGAACTTTGAATCGAGACCCAGATATTTCGATAGAGCTTCAAACGCTGATTACAAATATGAAAACTAAAACTGCAAAATGAACTGCCAAGTAAGTTGTGAGCAGTCAAAGTTGGCTGGAAATAAAGCGTTTCATATGAATCGTGGTACCGTCCGGGCATTCAAAGTCGCCATGGAGTAGTGGTAGTGCTCTCGAAAGTTGCACTCCAACGGAAAGAGAATGCACGACCTCCCGGCTGGAGAGCGAGAGCACTACCACTACTCCACGGCGACTCTGAAAGCCCGGAAGCTAGCACGGTTCATATGTAATGCTTTACTTCCAGCCAACTTTGACTGCTCACAACTTCCTTGGCAGGTTCATTTTGCAGTTTTAGTTTCCATATTTGTAATCAGCGTTTGAAGCTCTATCGATATATCTGGGTCTCAATTCAAAGTTCCATGGGAAGTTGAATGCCTTCCCTGGTAGGTGCTCTAGGCCTCTGCAAGCGGATAGTGAATGTTCCAGAAGGAAAAGATGTTAAAGTTGCTGTAGCTAGTTGAAGTGGCTACTCCTGCCAGAAGTGAGGGGGGGGGGAGTGGGAGAGGGGCGTAATGATCTGAAAAAATTCCATAACCCCATGGCGCACACTTGAACAACGATGGTCTCACAAAACCTCCAAAGTTATGCGCTTTCTACAAACGTCTATATTGACTAGCTATTGTGCGTGACGCTGCTAACGAGTATTTTGACCGTTTGCTTCAAACCTACATATTTTCGCAAAGTGATTACAGAGATCAATAATTGCAGAGCAAGCTGTATCATCAAATTTTCAGTCAATAAAGAAATTTTGCCGGAGGAACTCGAAATCTGTTACAAAATGTCTCGGGTTTGTAAGTAGAAATGGGTTCACGAGAGATGCCCTCTTGCTGACCCAGAAGTACGTATGCACTTCCAGATTGCAGTTTCGACTAGGAACAAAACCCGCTTGACTCGGAACCACCAGCAACGTTCGCTTCTGAAGAACACTAATGAACAGGCCTACCGGCAACTTTTTCATTATTAACATTATTTACATTACATTATGAACATCATACGTCATTTAGTTATTTATAAATTGTACAATACAACCTCTAGTC